TTCTATATGGCCAAGTTATAAGTCACTGAGAACAGGGGAATGGCAATAGGCCAGTTGCTCAGCTGGAGAGCCCAGCTCTCCTTTGGCTCCAGGCACAAGTGCAATGAGCCTGTTGGTCTCAGCTTGCCATCTAGTGGTCAATGGCCTACATGGCAAGCCACCACACCCACATTTTTTCTTCCTCTCCATTTTGTGCTTTCTCTGGTGGAGAACCCCTCCCACAGCATGTCAGCCCCTGCCTCCTCTACTGGCCTTCCCTTCCAAGCACTGAGAGCAACGTGGCATCCAGCTGCGGCAGTCTTAGTGGCAGAGCATCTGTTGCACGCTTTATGCAAGATTGGCAGAGATTTATATAGTGTTTTGCTCTTGATTCTGGAAGGAGTAAGCTCCGGAGGAACAGACTCCTGTGCTAGGCAGACTACTTACATTCCTGGAATTGTTAAACAGCTGCTCACTTCTGGCCTGAACACACATGCGAGTCAATAAGAGCACGCGGGACACTAACACCACAAAGCAGTTTACTCTTTGGGTCAGAGTGAAATGCTGTTTGAAAGGGCTGTCTGAAGATTACACCCATGAACGTCTGTAGGAGGAGCAGACAGCACAGGCAGAGTCACTTTGGAAGGGTCAGGATGGATCTTGCATGCAGATGGCATGGGTCCTTTGAAAGAGATTCCAGGTGGATCAGGAAAATTATGCTACATGCTAAACATGAACCTGCTTCTATAGAGCTGTAAGTGGCTCAGCATTTCTATTTTTTTTAAATCAAGCCTTGTGGCCTCCTTTAAGGTGCTTAGTGCTCTCAGCTCCCACTGTCTTTGCCAAATTTGGGGTTCTCAGCACCTTACAGGATCTGGCACCAACAGAGACCAGATGCTCACTAAGAGACTCAGCATTCTTTTATGCCGATCAGCAGCTACACAACTGAGGCTCTGCATAGGTCTCCAATGCTGCTGGAGGTTTGATGCAGCTCAGGTAGGCACACCTGTGCTTGCTTTAGTCTAACAAGTGTGGCTGAAAATAGCAAAGACGCAGCAACACAGATGTCAGCATGGGCTAGCAACCCGAGTCAACAGCCAGAGTTCCAGCTGTGTTTTTACAACTACTGCTACTTTTAGCCATGCTAACTAGATTAAAGGTAGCAGAGGATATCTACATAGCATAGGCATACACCGTGTGTGCCTGTGTGTATGTGCATGTGCACTTACGTGCAAGTCCAGATTAAGCAATTTATCCATGCATCGAAGAGGTGTGCTGAGAACAGTTGAAATTCTTCATGCCATTTGGCTACTGATAGTGGATTTACCATAATCCCCGAGCAGCAGGCTCTACTAATTAGGATCAGGTAGAGTGGATCAACTTGAAAAAAATTGACCCAAACTGGGAATCTAATAATCCCAGGAGGTCAAAAGAAAAAGTCAACCTGGGTTAGGTTTGAATGGATGGACTAGATTAAGGGGCTCAGTTCAGCCCTAACCATTACTGATCTTTCTAAAGTTCTCAGCATTGACAAATGGGCTCTGATTTTCCACAAAAGCTCTGTGCCCATTTAGGAAGCTGAACAAAACAGCAAGATGTGCTCAGAATGTAGCAGTTAATGCAAAGGGGAGGTTACCCTTTTGAAAATCTGTCTCTAAAGTCTATTATTAATTCTCTCAGTGAGTTAGCCTAGTGAACTTTTGGAAGGGTGTCAGAATGGAACTGCTGAAACTTTTGATGTTGGCTCATCGCTAGTTTTCATTCATTGCATAATGGATTATTTATTAATTAATAACGAGTATCTAAAATTGTGCCAACGCTTGCCCTTCCAAGCTGGCAAATTACATTACAGAATTAAAGAGAAAGAAAAACAAAAGGAAAAAATGGACCAAAAAAGACCTGTGTTTGTAACTTAATTTAATTGTGCTACACTAGGAAGAAAACTAAGCAAGGATTGGCACCAATCCTCAGGGTAAACAAGGAAATAGCCTATTTCAGGGTACAGCAGTGTCGACCAATTCCAAGGAGTGAGCCCTACTTGAAATGATCAATGTAAATGTCTCTCAATGTGTTTTATTTGCCTTTCCTCCCCCTCCACACACACCTTTTTTTTTTTATAGGACTATTAAGATAGAGCGTCTCAAATCCTATCTATACTATATTTTGTCGTCTAGAATTCTAGGTTGATACATACCCATTTTAAAAACACAATTTTGCAGCTATAAATTGGTCAAGGCTATGCTATGAGTAAATCTAGCTCAGCAAGGATGTGACTTAGGTTTCACACTCCTAAGCATTTGCTTGCACCATTGGACTAAGCTTGTTTTTAAGAGACAAGGTGAGTGAGGTAATATCTTTTATTGGACCATTTTCTAGTGGTGAGAGAGACAAGCCTTCAAGTCACGCAGAGGTCTATCAGTGTCAGTTGCAAGATATTAAAGAGATGCACAGTTTTTAACACCAAGTTCCAAACACTTCAGGAAAGTTGTGGCACATTTCAGGCTGTGTTTAAATGAGGATGGTTGTAAAGGCTCTGATTGTTAGTGTTTTGGAAAATATTAACAAGATAATGCCGACCCTACGACCTCTCTTCTGGCTGGTGTTCTCAGTGCAGGATTGGCAAGAAAAGCCCCAATCTTACTAAAACGCTTATCTTGTTTGCTCTGTTTTCTGCCACAAAGCAAACAGCCTAATTTGTGCCTTTTTAAATCTTACAACATACTACTCTCACCTTTGTGAATATGTACAAATTGTATCCTTGTTTTTGTCTCCCATAAAAAAGCAATCCCCCAAAACATACAATTTAATATTTAACCAGAGAGACCAGAACATTTTAATGCTGAAAAAATTCACAAAAAGTCAGTTTAAATGCTCTGTGATCAGACTCATCCTATGCCTACCCTATAGCCTGAATCGGCCCACTAAGGGTACATCTACACTGCAAGGCTATTTTGGGATACCAAATAGAACCCTGCGTCTTTTGAACACATCCGCTATAGTGAAATATAGCGTACGCACTATTTCAGCATCCCTGTAAATGTTGTTGCATGAGGGATAAGGGATGTCTCGAAATAGTGTGTAGATGCGCCAAATTTTGAACTAGCCTATTCTGAAAAATAATTGAAATAAGATTTGCATAGCACAAATTGCGTATCTCATTTTGAGGTAAGGGTGCAGTGTAGACACACTCTTAACAGTCGATTTAGCTGGTCTAATTAAGACCTGCCAAATTGACTGCGGATCATTTTACCTTAGATGAGAACAGTAAGAGTCTCCCATTAGCTCACTGAGGATCGGAAAAATAGACAGTATTGGATATAATTCCATGAACAAATTTAGAAGCCTAGTGTCTAACAAGATCCCACAGTAACCTGAGCTAAGGTACATCAATTCCACATAGTCGACCTAAGCTATTGAGCTCCAGCTATCTGAGGGAGTGTAGATGTAACCTAAGACTTCTTTCTTTCTAGCCTCCATGAATGACAGAAAACAAAGGAAACTTGTGATTTTTAGTATAACTAATTACTTCAGTGAAAACTAATAGACTAAAGCCATATCTATCTGGCTGTTGCTCTTAGCACTGAAGGTATGGTAATTCTTTTCAATTCATCAACATATCTTAGCTTATAACTCACATTCCACATTTAGTCTAGGTTAAACAGTAGCACCACATTAGTTTTTAGTATTAAAATGTAATGAAAACAAAATTCAGCTGAATACACTTTAATCTTGTTAAACACTAGGCTTCTAAATTTGTTCATGGAATTATATCCAATACGATCTGTTTTTTCCAATCTTGAACTTTTAGAGCAGGAAAAGAGACTGGAAAGGAGATCAGCTTCTTTTCTAGATCAGTAAAATAAAGCAGGAAAAAAAGAGCACACTTGGAATCACAATGTATAGTGCTAGGAGTCCAGGGGTTAAACTTACTTATTGTGCAAAGCAAACTTTGTGAAGTAAGCCTCGCATCTGACATCATGGTGTCATAAGACAAATCCACAAACAAAACAAATTTACAACCCCATTTCCTGTAACTTTAGAGATGGGAAGGAGGTGGATCAAGGACAAGGGATCTACCTTGTCCACCCACATACAGCACTTTTCACCACTACAGCCTTATGATTGCAATTCTCTAAAGTGAGGATGCAAACGGTATACATGGGTGGCCAGCTGCAAGCGCTATGAACATACCTCAGGCATAGCATCTCCAAAGCAGATAACCTACAAAGGTAGTTGTACTAGACTAGCAAGCCACCTGGACAGATGGGCATTACAGGGAAGAAAAATGAGCAGTGGGCAGTACGAATGACTGATTTTAAACTATTTCACCTAAATCTAGGGCCACCAACAGGAAATCTGGGCTGCTCTGTATTATTTATTATTTTATAGCACATTTTGCACATGTGGCACTTGACAGACAAATAAGAAACGCCGTTCCTGACTAGAAGCGCTCACGATTTATAGCTCCGATCCTGTACTGAGGTTTTAACACTGACCCTACCACAAAGGAATCCTCCCTTTTCTCCCCCACTTGTGAAA